GGACAGTGGCTGGACTTCACTGTGGTCTGACCTGGGTGGGGGCAGTGGCTGGACTTCACTGTGATCTGACCTGGGGGGGGACAGTGGCTGGACTTCACTGTGGTCTGACCTGGGGCGGGGGGACAGTGGCTGGACTTCACTGTGGTCTGACCTGGGGGGGGAGGACAGTGGCTGGACTTCACTGTGGTCTGACCTGGGGGGGGGACAGTGGCTGGACTTCACTGTGGTCTGACCTGGGGCGGGGGACAGACCACGCTTCACTATGTGGAAAGCATTTCTCAGCTGTAGAGCTTTGAAGACCTAAACTCTGAAAATTAAGTCCAAAAACATCCGAGCAGTCCAAATGCTCCAAAAATTCCTCTATAAATCAGCTGTTAGCTTCAACAAACAAAAGTTTGCTTCCCTTGGCAGCTTTCCATGGGAAATATTTGGAAATAGTTAAAGTTTCTAGGGCCGAGGAGATGGCTCACAAGAAGAAACACTAGCCTCAGAAGCCCGATGACCCGAGGTCATTTCTGGAACCTGTGGAAGGAGCTGGATGTGGTGGCTGGTGTGTCTGTCACCCCGCTGTCCTGTAGTGAGATGGGAAGTGGGGTCAGGAGGACTACCTGGAAGACTGTGGCAGCTAGTCTGGAGTCCACAGCCCATCAGCAGACACAATAAAAGAGACCCAGCTTTAATATGGTGGGAGGCGGCAAGAGCACACTGCAAAGTCGTTCTCCGCCCTCCATGTGTGTTGTGATGCACCCCCCCCCCCCCCCCGCCACCGACCCTACCGATAAATAAAAGAATAGTTAACATCTAGATAGATTTTGTGAAGAATATTATCTGTAATATCTGTAAAGAATATTATAATTTTTGAAAGCTCGTAAAATTTAAGAAGCTGTAAGTTTTTTAGAAAATTTAACCTATGTTATCTTCACTTTAAAAACATTCATAGACACCATGACAAGAAAGTCTTCCTCAGAATTCTATCCTTTAGCTTCATGGTTCCATCTCAAGGTGGACTTTGTAGCCTGTATAGTTTAGATTGAGAGAGAGAGAGAGAGAGAGAGAGAGAGAGAGAGAGAGAGAGAGAGAGAGAATAAGGAAACATAGAAATTAAAAAAAAGTCTTACCCCAAACCCAAAATAAACCAACAGAACCATGTAACTGGGTTGATGTGCACCCCTGTGATCCCAGCACTTGGGAAGTAGAGGTAGGAGAACAAGAGTTCAAGGTCACCCTTGATTGCAAAGTGAGTTCAAGGCTAGTCGAGCTTACATGAGACTGTCTAAAAGAAAGAAGATAAAAACAAAAGCAGACAAATAAACCCAAACACTGCCAACTCCACCTAGAGATGAACATTCATAACGAGAGAAGAGCATTATGAACTGTTACTCTTGATGAGTAGATTTAATCCACACTACAAAACCATAATGTTGGTGTGACACCAAAATGCTTCCTAGAGAAGTGCGTCAATGAAGGGAATCCAGGCTTCAGCATAGGCTGTTGATCGTTCCTCCTCACAGTAGTTTAGGGACACAAGCCATGCAAGAGCAGGAAGCTGGGAGCTGCTGAGTCCTCCTGCTCAGTCTGACCCACATGCAAAGCCTTGAGGATCCTCCTCAATCCTAACTTATTGATGGAGAGCACAGCAATCGAGAGACAGAGGCAGGTGGATCTCTGTGAGTTCAAGGCCAGCTTGCTCTACATAGCAAGTTCTAGGCCAGCCAGGGCTGCATTGTGAGACTTTGTCTCAAACAAGACAGACAGACAGACAGAGCCCTCAAGTTACTGGTGAAGAGCAGTAAGTGGCACAACATATTTAACTATCAAACAGTAAATATAAATAAGAAATGCCAGAAACTCAGTAATTCAAAATTGAGAAAGCAACGAGCCATGTATAAACAGCATTGATAATAACCTTTTTGTTTTTTCAAGACAGGGTTTCTCTGTGCAGCCCTGGCTGTCCTGGAACTCGCTTTGTAGACCAGGCTGGTCTCGAACTCACAGAGTTTCCCTGTCTCTGCCTCCTGAGAGCTGGGATTAAAAGTGTGCACCACCACCATCCAGTTAGCACTGAAGTCTTTAGAATAACTTCAGTATATACACTTGATGGAATTGAATTAAACACATTACTTTTCTCTCTCTTTGCTTCATACTAAAAAAGAGCATTGATAATAACAGATTGAGTCAGGTACTAACTTTCAAAAGTTCAGTTCACAAGGACATAACTGTTTTCAGAAAATGTGATTTGTAGTTATTCATGTCCGAAGCGGGGGATGAATGTCTTAGCCTGTAGCTTGGATATGTGTAGCTACCAGGCTTCATGAATAAGTTAAAATGATGCACCTTGGTTCTTTGATTTTGCTTTCTTTTCCTTGTAGAAAATAACATGGTAATGGATTTTTGGTTGCTGGTGTTCACGGTGTGTAGGGTATAAAAATCTACTTATGTTTTCTATGTGAATTTACAGACAGTATTCAGAGGCATTTGTGTGCCTGTATTTATTGAACTATGGGAACAGTCCCTGAAAGTGTAGTCTTATGTGCCTACATTTAAATGGTCATTTGTCACTATCCCATAATAGTCTTGAAGCCCAAGGAAATTGTGTACATTTAACTGAGCCACATCCGTGTTCTCTAGATTTGAATGGTGACTAATAATTTGGTTGAATTCAGCAGATGTAATGGTTACTTTTCATGTTTAGCATGTGTTCAGCAAATCATTTGGCTTTCTTTTGGATTTACTTAAATACTTGAGCATGTTGCAGATTGCCTGGCAGACAGCAGTTGCTTGATGATCGAGCTCATGAATTTAATATATGGCTGTTGATTTATGATGTTCATTGATATCCTTTTGATGGTTCCTCTTTTCTTCCATTCATCACTTACTGTCAGCTAATTAAAAGGGGGCGATTTGAGTATATACTAGAAAGAAAATTTTAATTTTGGTCTCTAAAAAGAAAAGAGAAGACATTGGAGAAGACAGTAGGGTGGTTGACATAGCTTAAACTGTAAAATATGAAAGGTCCATCAGCATCTCAGAGCGTCATGCTGAGAATACAAAGAGTGGCTGAGTCATATGTGTAAGATCAGGAATAAATGACCAGGCACGGTTCCCGCGAATGGAGAATCAACAATTTAGTCATTTCTAACTGCACTGCTCTCCTTTCTCAGAGAAGTCCATGTTTGTTAAAGTCTCACATTCAGGTGGACTGCAGAGAAGTGAGTAGCTCCCCTCCTCCCCAGGCAAGTGAGCTAGGAGGCCCCCTCAGCTCCACACACTCATGTCCAGGTACCGTGGAGGCAGGAGTTGAAAGGTGGCACCTTGTAGGAACTGCTCCACCTGCTGAGGTTGAGAGAAGACGGTGACCTGCGTCTGTCTGTCCTGTGCTAACGCCCTTTGTTCTTTCCTTCTAGTCATACAGTTTATCAAGAAAGAAAATAGTGCACTACACCTGTTTCGACCAGCGGAAACGAGCGAATGCAGCGTTCTTGATAGGTGCTTACGCTGTGAGTACTTGATTTGGGATGCTTTCCGTGATCAAGTGGGCAGAGCCACGATGCTTCCATTAAATCTCCAGCTAACACTGCTGTTAAATCTCAGGCCTGCTCCAGTGGGACAGGAGGGGTACTGATTAGGAATGGAAAGTGGACTGACATCAATGGCGTACTTACTCTGTTATTGTTGTTGTTGTTGTTATTATTATTATTAATTATTTTGTTTTTGATTGCTCTGAGTCAGAGTCCTCTCCATGGCTGGCCTGGGACTTACTAAGTAGTCCAGTCTGGTCTTAAGTTGGAGATAGTCTTCTTGCCTCAGCGTCTGTAGTGTTAGGATTTCATGCATGAGCCATCTCGTCTAGATATAGGTTTATTTTTGGATAGTTAGTGAGAGACTCTTGGAATCATGAGTGTAGCTCGGATTCTACTATTATCAGCATTTTAGTGCAAAGAACATCTATACCTAGCAAAGATATATCCAAGATGAAAAGGTATGTATATGAGTGAAATATAATATTGTGGAAGTGTTCTTTTTGTAGGGGTTGGGGAGATACAGCACATTCTAGACAGCAAAGGAGAGGCTTATTATTGTTAATTTTTTAAATCAATCCATGCATTCATCTATACAAACATTTGCAATAGAAAAAATGGCATGGAATATAAACCATGCAAATATTACAGCCTCCGTAATTACTCAATATGATCTTTATAAAAGCAAAGTTTGAATAGAAGTTTTGTTCTCTGAAAGCACAAAAGTGTCAATTTGAGTCCTATCTGAGCATGTCACAGTTTCTGGAAATTTCTGGATATGCTGGGACTGGTCCAAAAGAAGACGGAAGTCACCAGGGCTAAATGTACCTCTACCCTGGACTAGCTCCTCAGGGCTGTATGTGATGCCCACGGACGAATATGCTGATTCACAGGCAAGAGAGGATGCTGGCATTTCCGCTCATCCCCAGGAAAGGCTGGTGTGTCTCCGAAGCCTGAAGCTTGTGCTGTGTGAGCTTTCCAGGCCTCATTTGCAGACCTTGAGGGAAGGCACCATGCTCTGTCATACCAAGCCCAAGTTTCCAGGGGGAGGGGCCCGGTGGCACTGCCGGCAGGGAAGAGGACAAGCTGATAGTCACATGCACGCCTTGCATCCGGGACTTGAGTCCCTAGTTCTTTTCCCTTCTTTTGTAAACCCTGGGGTCATCCCTGGTGGCCCCTTTTCTTCTTGTTCTATAGACTGCACAGGAGAGTATAAGGAGCAGAGTCTAAGAATCAATAAAAGATGGCTTTTTTGTCCTGAAGGGGTTCTGTGCTGAAGGGGTCAGGTCACCTTCTCTCTCTCCGCTTTATTTATTCTCCTTGTCTGTAAAATGGGTGGGTTGGCTACCATGACTCCTAAATTTCCTTCCAAGTCTCCTTAGGATACGAGAATGATTTGTGGTGCCAGTCAGGCTATTGTCTTTTATCTTAAGAGCATACATGAAAAGCTAGCTCTTGGTGGGAAGGGTTGGTGAAATGCTAGTTGCTGAGTTAAGCAGGCACGCTAATTTTTTTTTTAAACTTTACACTGATAATTGACACTCCCTTGATAGACAGCATGACTAAATATGGAAAGGCTGTACTGATCTCTCCACTCAAGCCATGAACCAAGCATGTCTTTCCTATGGGGCTGTGATGTTTTGTGAGCATTTTTTTTTTTTAGGTCCTTTGTCATGAAAGACCTCTGCAGGCTATCTATTTGCATAGTTCTCTCCCTCCCTCCCTCCCTCCCTCCCGCCCTCCCTCCTCTCCCCCCTCCCCACTTCCTTCCTCTTACCTCCCCACCCATCATCCAGCTTTGTTTAGAGTGGGCTTTCACCATCTACCGCTAGAATTTTGAAGTGAAGTCTAGCTATTACACATGCATTGAGCCCATGAGAAAGTAGCCTGAGGTAAACAAATGGAGGAGTTTCTGTCACTTTAAAGCAACCCTAGGAGAAAGAGCAGGTCTGGCCTGGTGGGAGAAATGCTGAGCACAGTGTGAGCTTGTCTTACACCTAGTCACAGTCCTGAGTGTAAAGTGATTTTTCTTGTCTTGGCCATTTCCCCGCTGACCTTTCTGATTTTGTAAATGTGCTCCTTAGAAAGATTAAAAAAAAAAAAACAACCAAAAAACTGTTATATAAAAATGACCTTCAGAATTGTGGTTGTTTCTTAGAGATTTATGCCTTTGCTTCATGTATCTGTATGCACTTAATTGTTGACACAATTGTTATAATATATATATATATATATATGATAAGTTATATAATAGGAGTTATATGTATCAGTTAATTTTATTAGTGTTGCTAGGAGGGGAAGTCTCATTCTTATGAGGGAATCTTCGCTGGGTATGAACAGGCCTCTAACTTGGGAGCAGCCATGTAACCCATGAGACAAAGCAGGTATATGTGTTTATCAGAGTGATGGCCTGTAGAGTGAAGACGAGTCTCTTTAAATGAGCCGTCAGCCATGGTTGCAGTGGCGTTGACTCATGCCTTGAGACAGGCCTCCTCTGAGCTCTCGTTTTCCCATTGATAAGATTTGGATAATAGCAGGGCTTCCCTGCTTATTGTGCAGAATTATTATGAAGGTCAAACATCCAACTGTCTGCTGGATGGCACCACATTCTATATCTAAATTATCACAAATTTAACATACCCTTCCCCTATCTATTTCAACTGACTCATTTCTTCACTAACCACCCCTGTTTCAGAAAAGTTAACTCTTACTACTGATGAGCCAGATCAAAAGTTAGTCATCACTTCTCTTCCTCAGGCCCCTCACCCCACATTACAGACTTAATCAGAAGTGTGACTGCCTCGAACTCTTAAGATGCATGTTGAACCAGAGTGCACCTTCCCATTTAATCCTGTTACACTGCCATCCGTTTCCTTGATTGCTCCCGTAGCTTGGAGCATTTCTTCCTGCTTTCCTTTCCGTATTCTTGTTTCCCTTTGAACTTACTTTCCATGTAATTGTCAGGGTCGTCTTTAAAAAACGCAAGTGAGATCACACCATGACCCTGGTTTAAATCTGGCGGCTGACTGTTCTTGGCATCTATTCCTTTTTGATTGGCACCTGTGTGGTGTAATGACCTCCGTGCCCATTGTCCTCCCGTCATACTGGCCTTCTAACTGAACACCACACACCTTCTCTCACCTGAAGTCTTCATGTTTCTACTTTCTCTATCTAGAACATTCTTTTTTTTTTTTTTGTTTTGATTTTTCGAGACAGAGTTTCTCTGTGTAGCTTTGGGAGCCTATCCAGGAACTCGCTCTGCAGACCAGGCTGGCCTCGAACTCACAGAGATCCACCTGCCTCTGCCTCTCCAGTGCTGGGATTAAAGGCATGTGCCACCATGCCCAGACTTTTATCTAGAACATTCTTACTTCCGACCTTTGCATACTTGTTTTTTTTTCCCCCAAAGTTACTGTCTTGGAGCTTTTTCTCAAACTCTGCCCCGTTCCCCAAGCCTTGTTCACGTCCTAGTTCTTTGCTATTTTTATTTTCCTGGTTGCACCCAGTCTTTGAAGTTACTCATGTGCTCATGCATTTGCCTCCTTATTATCTCTTTCCCAGACCAAAGGGTAGGGACCTTATCTGTTTTGTTCATTGCCCTGTCTGGAGGATGATAAAATATTTAACGAGGGGTTAGGTCCATGCGTTTGCTAGTTGAGTTGGACGCTGGCCACAAGGCTGAGGCAGAGTCCTAGAAGCTTCCTGCTGTGCTGAATTATGGGTAGGTCTAGGATGGGAGGTGACCACACGGAAGACACTAGAATGTCCAGTGTGGAAAGGTCAGGTGCCATGAGCAGCAGCTGTTTCCTAGCCGTGTCTGAGCACCACACATCCAGTTCAGGGCCACACTGGCTGCAAGGTAGATGGCTATAAATAAACATTGAATGAATAAACCCACTGCAAAGGGGCAAGTTGGACATAAGGTATTCATGGTGTCTTTCCCTTTCCCAGAATATCTGAGGGTGTGTGTAAGCAGACTGATACAGAATCAGGGGACAGCTGGCATAACAAAGAGGAATGACTTGTCTTTTTAAAAACAAACTTTCAGTTTTCTAATTGTTTTGATGGTCAAATGCACATTCCATACAACTTATTATTAGAGACAAAATAAGCAACAATGACAACAAAAACAACAAACCAGGGTCTTAGATAGATCTTGGGGCTGTGTAGTCAGGGTGACTCTATAGTCACAGACCACCATGCCCACCCCGTCTCTGCAGGGCTGGGGATCGAACCCAGGATGTCAAGTATGCTAGGAAGCATTCCACATAGCCCAGCTCTTGGAACCATTTTTAAGCCGCTAGGTCCATGGTATTGGTTACCTTCCCGAGGCTGAGCTTTGTTGACAGTTTCTCTCGTAGGTGATTTCCAGGATGGCTGAGAAGCTTTTGTGTTTGTTTCCTTGTCTGTAAGCATGGGGGGTCTAGTTAAAGCCCTTTCTTCTGGAACTGTTAACAAAAAAAAAAAAAAAAAAAGAAAGAAAGAAAGAAAGAAAGAAAGAAAGAAAGAAAGAAAGAAAGAAAGAAAGAAAGAAAGAAACAATACAGAGAAACCTCGAGTTCACTGGGGACCCACAGTAAGGCTAGGCTGCTGGATGGATGTGGTCGCTGGAGATCATAGTGATATATACTGGTGAGGTCTCTTCACTTTCTAAGGTAGCCTCCTGAGCTTGCCATGAAGTCTTTTCCTTGCTGGAGATCTACATTACAGATTAACAGGGTGTAGCCCGAGCCAGACATTATGTCTGCACTGGGGATGACCAGGCTGAGATTTGTGGACTTTCTAACCATGCATGTCTGTCTTTTATTTTGTAGACTACACATAAGGCTGTTAATATGGTTTTATTGTCCTAGTATGCGACTCTGGAATCAGACAGCTCACGTTTGAATAAGATAGTTCCTCGCCAGTGCATTACTTGGCGTAGTTATAGAATCAGGATGCTTAGATCACAGGAACACCCAAACGTTCTCATGTGACTT